CAGCCCTTGTAGTTAGGTGATGACGGAACTTTTGGCAGGGATTTGGCAATAACATTGTCAACAGAGAGTGCTTCGCGGATGTAGCACCACTGCTCTCGGTCATGGGTTTGCGCATCGTGATCAGAAGAATGCAGAAGCTCGGGAACACCATGAACAAATATTGTTTTCTTGCTATCTCTATTAGGAATGCCGCGTTGGTCAACTGCTTATTTTGGGCGATCTTTCCAAGGTAGATCAGGTAATATGCGCACTCCGCTCGGTGAGTTGCGAAGTCGAACTGCTGAGAGCAGGACAGCCTCTGTCTCATCTGCTGCGTCTAATGTTACTCGAAGAATTCAAGGTTCACCAGAGTGCACTGAGGTCGGGTGACGCGCTACGCGTTGCAGCTTTGCATGCTCAACCCGAAACCAATGGACTCGCAGGTGGAACTCCACTGGTTGCGATCGTCTTACAACTTGTCTTATATTGTGCCAGATTTGGACTCGGGAACATTGGTACACACAAGAGTTAATGCAGCGTGGTTTTGTCTAGCGGGTGTTGGCCTTATACTGTTTGTTTTATAGTTTTATAGATTTATAGTTTTGTGGCTTTTGCCGGCAATTTGGGTTATGTAGAAGGCATCACTGGATTTGACGGTGAAAGCTGCTTTGCGCCACGCATGCTTGGTACAGCAGATGGATTTATTTGTGTCGCTTCCGGTGTGTTTGTCGATGCAATCGATGCGTACGTTAGCTGCTTGTTATCTGCACTGGATTGCTCTCGGCTCTGAGCTCTCGGTGTCATGGCTAGATCTCCAAGTGAAGTGTATTTGGTTGGAGAAGTGGAAGCAGGCATGTTTGAGGCTTATCTGCTTATGGGAGTGAAGTGACCCAGTGCATTTAGAGTCACAGGCGCTGCAGTGCGGTTGGAGCGTCTAGCTCTCTTCTTCGGCTTAGTTTCGGAGCTTACTTTGGCTGGGTGGGGTATTATCGCGGCCATATTTACCTCCGTGCAATCCATCTCAGTATTTCCAAAACGCGCGATTATCTCAGTCATGCTATCGCACTTTTTCATGACCAAAGATAATCAGTCGACAACTGGAATGACTTGACATGTTGAGCAAAACCAAATTGTGTCAGCAAGTTTGTTTGTCTGCCTTACTTCTTGGGCGGATTTGCCTACACATTGCGGATAATATGGTCTAATGCAGCTAGAACAGTTTACACTGATCTTAAGGACTTTACTGTAGTTGTCTGCGCAACACAGGCGATGTTGAACCATTGGAATGCCAGTCGTACTCTTATCGTTTGCAGCTAGGCCTATCTGAGCGCTCACCTTGATGAGTGTTCTTTGCGCCAGGTGTGACGCACAAACAGGTCAGAACACGCACACGAATTGAGAGTTGTTCAACCGCACCAAGGACAGGCGGTGGAAGCAGATCGAGGTCGTCACGCGCGGACTCTCGGGTTCAGCGATCAATCGACTCGCAGTTGAATACGCACAACCACACGATGCGGCAGCTTGTGTTAATCGGCATGCCTTAAGCGACGATGCAACAGGCGATTCCTCATGTGGTAACGCTAATAACCAAAACGGACATTGGGTCTCTTCGCGGTCTCTGGAACTTATAGATGTTCGCCGGTATATTCCGCCTGGAAGCGAACACAATGAAACTCGCAAAGAGCTCCGGGCATGACTCCGTACTAGACTGAAAGAAGACCGCGAATCTTGGTGGTCTCATCGTGCATCAGAGATGGAAATTGCCACCGCCCTTGGTAACCATCGTAAGTTATTCCGTTTGATAAGGGAAACGTGCAGCAGGAGACATGGTGTTAGTGAAACTATACATGAGGAGAGTGGACAGCCTATCCACAACTTGTCAAAACGCTTGGAGCACTGGGCTAAGCATTTTGAAAAGAAATTTAATCATCAGCAATTGTTCGATTTTTCACCGGCCATTGGTTGCCTCGCTCCGTGTGCAGTCCAGTTGGATCTGCCCTCTCGCTCAGAAGTCGAACTTGAGATCGGACTGTAAAAGTTAAACAAAGCCGCGAGACCAGATGATTTTCATCCAGCCCTCTTCACATTCGGGGGACCTGCTCTTGTGAATGGTTTACACGATTACTAGTGAAACTGTACCCACGGACTGGAGCCGCTCCGTTATTCTTCAGATCATCAAAGGAGGCTGGCGTTCGGAATGCAGCAAATATAGAAGAATAAGCATGAGCCCCATCGCCTCCAAATTACTTACCTCTGTCATCCATCACAGACTGACCGGTACTCGTGAAAGCCAGGTTTGTGACGAGCAAGCCAGATTTCGTCGAGGTCGTGGCTGCATTGACCACATCTTCACTTTGCGTCAGTTGTTGAAGCACCGTCACACATATTGGCGACCTACCGTAGTCCTGTTCCTCAACATCAAAGGTGCCTTCGATTCGGTTGATCGATATGCCCTTTGGGACTGTCTACTCAGGAAACATGTACCTGAGAAATATGTAAATATTATCCGAGCATTATAGGCACGTAGCTCGGGCAGTGAGGGCTTATGGTAAGTTGTCGTCGCCCTTTCATATCTCCAGCGGCGTGAGACAAGGATGCCCGCTGTCACCTTTCCTCTTCAGATTCGCTATTGACGAAGTCATGGAGATTGCACTTACAGGACATGACTTGGAAGGTGTGGAGCTACTCCCAGGAGAACGACTTCTTGACTTGGAGTATGCAGACGACATTGCCCTCATCTGTGACAGCTCCCAGACGTGCCAAGCCGCGCTGGACAGATTAGCACTGGCTGTCAGCCGCTTCGGGCTTTGCTTTGCACCATCGAAGTGCAAAGCGTTCCTCCAAGATTGGCAGGGATCGCCTCCTGCGCTGACCCTTGGTGGGGATCAGCTAGAAGTCGTTCAGAAATTCAACTACCTGGGAAGTTGTATCAGCGCCCTTGGGATCGAAGACGAGATCACGAACCGTATAGCGAAAGCTCGAAGTGCTTTTGCTAACCTTCGCCACCTATGGCGGCGGCGCGACATTACTCTCGCCCTGAAGGGTAGAGTGTACAATGCAGCGGTACGTTCGACCTTACTGTACGGTTGCGAAACCTGGCCCCTAAGATCGGCGGACATGAAGAGGCTAGTTACGTTCGACCATCGGTGCCTTCGCAGTTTGGCTCACATCTGGTGGGAACACCGCGTGAGTAACGAGCGTGTTCGACGCCTTGTTTACGGCACAGGAAAAGGAATGAACCGCTCAGCACCGTCATTTCACGCACCAGGCTCCGATGGCTGGGCCACGTGTTGCGCATGCCAGCCCACCGACTTCCACGACGTGCGTTGTTTGCTCACCGGGGATGTGGATGGAAGAAGAGGAGGGGTGGCCAAGCGATGACTTGGTCCAGAGGAATGAAGGCCCTCACTTCGGAGCTGGCCTCGGTTGGAGCGTCACGGCTCCCTGGTTGGGGTCCAAAAGACGTGAACACGTTTGGCTGGATACACTTGCTGACATGGCAAGGAGCCGACCTCAGTGGCGTTCGTGCTGTGAGTTTCTTTGTCCCTCCCATCCCTTTTAGCCTCCCCCTCCATCTACGATCTCATTTCGTAGCGTAAAACATAATAATTTTTCTTTTTGCCTAGTAGCCGGCTGGTAGCTTACCGGAACGATGCCTATCCGTTGCTGGTAGCTCAGCTGGCATGCAACTGTTGTATTTATTTTCCTTTTCCTTTATGTATTGCGGCACAGTAGCTGAGGTGTTTCCCACCTCTAGCTGACGTGTATAATGACGATGATGATGCTAGATCATCACGAGCTCGACACGTAACTGACGGTACGACAGCGTGAACAGCCCCAGTCTCTCGCACCTGTCCTCGTACGGTAAACCTCGCAAACTGGAGATTAGCCTAGTATTGACGTGTTGTACATAAATAAATAACCAATTTATTCGCGACTATGCGAGGCACGCCTATGGGGCATGATCAGGTATTACAACGGTACAGACATTTTATGGCACCTGTAACAGTTACAGTAGAAAATAGTGCATATGTGCATGATTGGAACTGTACAGCGGTTAAAATACAAAACAATAATTTGGCTGTCGTGAGATCGGGACTCGTTAGTTAGGACATAATCGGTCTGCCTTTATTGCAGTCATACCTCGGCTAATAATTGATAGAGTATCCTGAACGATCCATTGGAAAATAATTGAAGAGCACGCTCGAGCTAGATATAAAAATACAGTGAGTTCTTGCACAGGTAACGCAAAGGTCAAAGGTGAGATCGTAGCAAGTAAGAAGACGACAGCATATGCATGGAGTCGTAGAAAGGGAGACGTCCGTGCATGCAGATGTAGATGTTCCAGTGTAACCAACCTATCTAGTATGGTGAAGCTTGGTGACCTGCCAGTGTGAAGTTATGGGCTGTGACTTGATCCGATGGCGCGTCACATTCGCCACGTTGCAGTGTTGTTAAATGGCCATTGGTGGCTTTTTATAGGGAGAACGCTTGTCAGGCGAAAACCCACCACGTCCTGAAACACTGCCGCCAATCCATTGAATGGCAAGTTGTAACTGGCTATGTTTCTTGTTGAACGTTTGTTTGCTCGGTTATTCGCAGTCAAGTTGCGTCCCATTTTTCTGCTGGCTGATGCGTTAGGCGAGTGCCTATTGCGTTCCTGGGTCCTGTCCTGTTTTGAACGAATAGCTGTGCCCGATTGGTAGGTCAGGAACTAAACATTCTTTTTGAATATGATGTGTTGATCATCTGCAGAACCACGTGAAGTCTCCGAGGGATATACATTGAAATATGTTGAATTGTTGTTGAAGTCTTGAAGGATAGGATATGGTTCCGAAGAAGGAATCGCAGATCCCCGGGGTATGTAGTAAAATTGATTAGAAATATAGGAAACCACGGCCAATTGAGCGGTCAAAGCGGATTGAAGAGCTCAGAATGACCAATTGTTCTGGCTTTGAATCGGCAGGAGAATGTGCCTTCCGAAGTCAAAAGGAGTTCTCCAATCTCCTTCAATGACTTACTGCGCCTCGGCCCGCGTGTGTTCGGCAAGAGGCGGTCTGCGACAGGCCGTACTCCGATAGCATTGTTTGGTACTTGTTGTAGGTGAAGTCGCATTCGTGGCAGCTCTGATCATCGCTCGGCAGATACGCAGAACTGGCTGATGGGTAGTGCCCATGTATAGCATGCAGTACCATGTCCATGTACCCGACAGTATCGCCTCTTGGTCGTTGGATATCAATCGGTCAGCTTACTCACAGTCGCGTCGTG